AATCAAATGCATTTTGTACGAGACGTCCTTCCAAAATGCATGTTGAAGACCTGCAAAACGAAGCAATTCTGCAAGACTTCCTCCAAAAATGTAACTGGAAGACACGATCCAACCAGACATGAAAGTGCCATTTACATTGCGGGAACGATCCTGAAGTTGCAAAACACAATGAAATTCCAGCGACAACTCATCCACCAGCAACAGTTGCAGTCACATTTACAGTGCGGAAACCATCCAGGAGTTGCAAAACGCAATGGACTTCCATCAACAGCGCGTACACAAGAAGCCGGTGAAAACTCTAGTTGCAATGGAGGGACGATGCGAACATGATCCGAGCATGGCGCGAGACCATCCCGCAACCGCTTGCCTTGCCAGGTTCGGAGCCACCCTTCGTATTGAAAACGCAACATTTCGTGCATCTGCTATCTCTCCAAAACGCATTTTGTACGAGACTTCCTTCCAACATGCATGTTGAAGAGTGGAGCTAGAGCTAACTAGAGCGAGATCCACCTGGAGCTCAAGCGAACCAGAATGAACCAGAGCTAGAGCTAACTGGAGTTAGAGCTAACTAAATAGCTAGAGCTGACTGGCGCTAAAGCCGACTAGAGAGCTGACTGGAACTAGAGCTAACTAGAGCTAGAGCTGTTGAAAGTCCGTCCCACGGAAGTTTTGCACCCTAAACTTCCTTTGATTAGGGAGATGATGGAGGCCTATGGCCAGGCGAACAACACCACCTCGACGCATCGGTTCGAGCCCAAGCGGTCCTGGCCGGGCGCCCGGGACCGTCGCTGGGTCGACCAGGCGGTGGCACATGCACCTCCGGCGATAGTAACGGTTGTGTTAAGATTTCAGGATGACAGACCCGGGTCTGTCAATGTCTGCACCTTCTGGATGTCCGCTTGACATCCATAGACTATCCACCCTACGCTGCACTACTTATAGGATATCTTAGGATCTCCATGGAGCACCCGTTTGAAAGTTCAGGTACGAAGAATGGCCAAACCCCTGGATGTTTCTGAGTTCATGGATCCAATTCTGCACCACCGCCTTCAACTCGGGGGCGCTGTTCTCGGGAAGGACTGGGTCGGCAGCTGTGTATCAAGGCCCATCGCCATACAGACTCTAAAGCCGGCCGGAAAAAGGTTTCGTGTCAGTGGGATGGTCTGGGACAGAACCATGCAGTGGCTCACCATCTCTCTGCACTATATCCTATGGTTAGCTGGTCAATGAATCTTGCTTAGAACATCTTAGACCCACTTAGGACTTAGACCCATACCCCAAGTCCCACATCGGTCCCGGCGCGCCTGCGGCGGCGAGCGCATGTCGCGCGGGGGGAAACCGCGCGGGGGGGGCTCCCCCCGGCGCCGCCGTTCCGAAGCGGCGGCCTCGGAGGATGGCGTCTGCGACATCATCAGAGCTCGGAAGCCTTGGAATCCATGTCAAGTGCACCCAAAATCACTGTGAAAAACCAAGGATTCGCCCGCCGGTGTTCGAATTCGTTGTTTGATATTGTTTGTTTGTCTTGACGAACACCCTCCTCATGGCAGTCTTTCAGATGATTTCTGACCCAAGGACAACAAGCCACCAAACACAAGTGCATAAACAAATAAGCCAACAGTTCCAAAGGGGTCCTTAATGGAGGTTAGGGGTGCCCATTTTCCACTCACTTAGGGACTAAACACCACCCCTTTGTGACTCCTGGAGAACACAAAACAACGATCCAAATAGATCCAGATACTTGCGGGAGTTCCGAAAGGCCAAAAGAGAAGGCCGCCTGCTGGCATGCCTGGAAGGTCCAGCCTATGAGGAAGGCGTCCATTTGAATGTCTGCATTTGCGACCTCCAACCTAGTAGCTTCTTGCTACTAGTGGTAATGGCCTCCAACCTACTTGCGATGGCCTCCACCTAATAGCGTCCTTGCGGCATTGCGACCGCAAATGGTCGTTGGAAGATCTTGGAAGCGAAGGGTCCCAATGTCTACCTGGATCTCTACCTGGTGCCGATAGACACTTACCAAGCCGCATCGACTTTATCAGCTAAGTTCTCTCAACTCACCCGAAGAAATCCAACTTGCAGCCAATCTGCTTCCTCTCAACTCCTGAAATCACGAAATGCTTTCATCCTCCGGTGGTCTTAGTCTTTTCTGCAGCTTGGCAATGAGGGGATATGACGGATAAATTAAGGTTGGAGGACCAAACGAAGCAACACAGCTTGAGTAGAAGCTCTATAGATCTATATATATATAGTGGGAATGTCTTGATCAGTTGATCCCCACTTTTGGAGTAGAAATTCATACGGCTTCACCCACGAAACCGCAACTGCACAACCTTTTCTCTTTACGAGCCACTGGTAGGCAGCGTTGAGGTGAAGGATCAGTTCAGGCCGTGTGAGCCTCGCGGAGATGCAAGCCGTTCGGCGTTGCTCTTCGGTTGGGAGGCCATCGCTCGGACGGACCCGACCCGTTCGGTGAAGCTTTGGTTCGGGTCCAAAGCCCTTGCGGTGCGTCCAAACCCTCCAGCAGAGGTGAGTCAGAACCCGAACTAGACTATCCTAGCTCGGTACCCTTGGTGACGGGTCCTAGTTCAGGTCACTTAACCTCTGTAGGCTCCAGTTCGGGGGGGTCGAAACGGAGGCCGTGACCGGAGACCCCAAACGGAGCGCGACCGGCCTCGACCCGCCCAGGTACGTTGTGACCAGCCGGTCGCCCCGGTTTTGGAGGAAGAGCTCTGGGAAGTGGACACTCCCTGGAACTAACCATGGAAGTGGATGGCATGGCCTCTTGGACGACCATTTTCCTCTACAAACAGGGTGTTTTCCACTTCCATGTTAGTCCCAGGGAGAGTAAGGCTCTGCAGCAACGAAACACACAGATCTGTGTGACCGACCAATCTTGCAGCTCATTGGCTTCTACACGCTGTATTAAAGGCTGGTAAACCAAGGAATCATTGCCACCGACAATCTTGAGATATCTTGAGGTACCACAAGAAACCAGACTTGCACTAAACATTCCCATCTTCTCCGTCTGAGAATGTACAATAGAGTCCACAAGCAAGAAAGACATCTGCCGTGCTGGGTGCAAACCCTTTCCGACGAGCGGCATTGTTTCTGTCAAATCGTTCTCTGTCCCGTTCAACAACATCAATTAGCCAACTTAGAAGCAAACATGCTTAGTCAATGCTCTTGAACCAACAAACACTGGATGGCAAAGATCGACCAACAATTGGAAAGAATCAGAACACAAATGAAAAATTGGACACGCTTTCTGTGCCAGACTCTCTGTCATTTGACGTCAAACCGGACGGGAACACAAAAAACACACGCATCACGTCGCACGTCGCGTCACGTCGAATAGCATACGTGTGTTCGAATCTCGCCTTGGCTCCAGCAGCCTGGAGGGTCTTTTCTGAAAAATGGATTTAGGTTACTAGTAGCCTCTTGCTCCTAGTAGCGATGGCCTCCAACCTAAT